AGGCGGAGCGGGCGCTCCTGGAGCCGCTGGACGATCGTTCCCTCCTGAGCACCGCGGCCAACGTCCTCTGCAGCGTCCTCCCCATCTACTGGGCCTGAGCGTCCCCCGGTCCCACGCGGTGTCACCGCTGCCCAAGGGGACACCCGCAGCGCGTGGGCACGTGGGACACTGAGCGAGCTGTGGGGACACGCGGTGGCGGCCGCCTCGCCGCAGCCGGTGCTGGGGACAGCTGGTTTGTCACTTAGTCTCAGCTTTGCCAAACCCAAGTGCGAAAATAAGCTTTAAAAAAAAAAAAAGAATGACGTTTAAAGAAACAAGCTTCTTTTGCCTTAAAAATATAGCCAAGGGCTGCAAGCAGCATCCGAATGGGAGCTGTGATCCTGCCGTGCCACAGGGGGCTGGCCCAGGCGTCCTGGGCTCCTGGGTGGCCGTCAGTGACACCAGTTCTGCGATGCCACCCCCAGGTCACCCTCGTGTCCCCCATGGGGTCCCAGCCCTAACTCCCACCATGGCCACGGTCACAGGAGAGGTGTCCGCTCTCCTCCCGCGCGCACGGTCCGGGGAAGCCTTTCCCACCCCCGCCTGGGAACGTGCAAGCTCCAAACGTTTCAAGGACGCAGGAAAACAAACAGGGAGCGCGAATCCCGCGGGTGCCCATATGGAGCGGTGAGGAGCCAGCTGTGCGCACAGCTGGAGGGGACGCTGACCTCGTGCGCTAGGCACGCGGGTCGCTCGCGGCCCCACCGCCCCGGTCACCTCACCTTGGTACCCCGGTGTCCCCCAGGACCCACACTGGGACCCCCCCGAGGCTGCCCAGCCTCCCGGCTCCGCATGCATCCAGCTTCCAGCATGAGCAGGGCCATTGGGATCCAGGCTCCGTGCTGCCCCGCTGCTCCGCTCCCAGGCCTCATCCCGCATGGATGCGGCTGCAATCCCTGCGGGAGCTTCCCAAGGGTCACCGCCCGGCTGGGAGGGACCCGGGGACAGCACGCAAGAGGCCACGCGGGCGCCAATTCCATAAGGGAGCAAAACTCCTCCAGGCTGGTCTCTGGAGAGGGTTCTGGGCTCGTCTCCAGAGCTGAGAAGGTGCTAACCCAACCCTTCCTTCAGGGCGGCAGCTTTTGGAGCTGCGGAGATTTTCCGGGAGGTTTTAACACACTTCTGCGTGCTCACAAGCAGCATCTCCCCCTTGCATGCAAAGAGGGCATGTGGGCACGTGGGGTGGCTCAGTGAGGGGCCCAGGAGTCCGGGGGCCTGGCTGCACAGCAGGAGCGGGGCAAGAGGGAAGGAGAAGCCCCAGCGCCTTTGGGGATTTGCAAAGGGATGAATCCAAAAGCATCGGGAGCCTAGTGGGAGGCCA